AAATCATTGTGACTCATTAAGGTTTTAGTTTCAAACAATTACTGAAAATCACATATTTTGCATCTCTTCTTCTACCGACTAAAAGCAAAAACTTTGTCAAACGGACCCACATCGAGGGACTGCCTCCAGACGCCAAGACCACCTCCGATGTGGCTCGCGTTTCAATCCCACTCATCATACCAGCATAACGGAATCTGATGCGTTTGCTTCCAAGGGTTGTAGAGAAATAGAAGGGCCTTACATCAAGTATGACGTGAACAAATAGGGAAGCCAATTCTGCTTGCAGGGCCAGTCATACCGGAGCCACCGTTTAGTAGTACTAGTTTAGAACAGAAATGGATTTAAGTTTCTAAGTAAGTTCAAGGCTGGCTCTGCGGTTTATTGTGCTTTTGGAAGCGAATGCATCTTAAAGAAAGATCAATTCCAATAGCTGCTGTTGGGTTTTGAGCTATGTGGATTGCCATTCTTAGTGGCGATGAAGCCGCACTATGGGGCTGAGACGATGGAAGAAGCATTGCCGAACGGGTTAGGAGAGAGAGTTGGGGGAAGAGGAGTGGTTCACAGTGGGTGGATTCATCAGCGACTAATAGTGGAGCACCCTTCTGTTGGGTGCAGCTTTGTCACGTATAGCGGGTCAGGTTCTGCAACGGAGGCGTTAGTAAGGTGATGATACTGTATTAAGGTGATCAGTTCTTCCAAGCAAGGCTGATTGGAAACGGGTTGAGGGCGGGTGCCGAAGTGAAGAGAGGCGATGAAGATGGTGCCGGGTTTTTACGCGAGAGAGTGTGCGTGAAGCGGTGCAGAAGGAACTAGCCTTTTTGATGCGTTAGGATTTAAGAACATCCCAAAGTTAAATAAGACAAATTTTCGATTTTCATAAAGTCTTTTGACGATGTCGGATTTGGATAAAAAAATATTTATTTTCTGAATGGAAACGGGTCAACGGACAAAACTTGTAGCATCGCTACAACGTTTTTCGTTCAAATTCCTTCGTTTAGGCCTCCAAAAGGGCGTTTTTTTTCTTTCCATTTTTAGTAAATTTTGTATTTGTAATAAGTTGACCTAAGAAATTCAATTCTAGTTCTAATTGCGTTTTCTTTTTTCTTGCGTCCAGTAGTTTCTGATTTAGTTTCTAGTTTATGATTTTCCTTTTTTAGAAAATTATGTATTTTTTTAGTATTTAAATTATAGAATAGGTTTGTTTCTTGTTTCTGTTTTGCCTATTTATATGAACGTTCTCTTATAATGAAAATCAATTATGTTGAATAAAATTTTACAGTTTTTCTTGAATATTCTCTCTTCCCGAATTCCAGTATTCTGTGTGAATCAACAGTTTTTGAAGTAATTTTCTTGGTATTCTGTATGAATAAACAATTAATTAGTTACCCTTTTATTTTATTATATAATTTTTTTCCCTTTAACCAAGCTTCCGCTATATCAGTGCGCAAGCGATTACGGCGGATGGGAGAAGGGAGTGAAGTCGGGAGAGAGGTCAGGAACAACCGAAACAAGTTATGAGAGTTACTTTTCAACAATAATTTTGATTCTTCTTATATTGTTGATTTCAATCAGCAGCTTCATATCATGTTGTCTGTTTTCCAGTTGGCTATAACGTTGCTTGTTCGGACTTATGTCTGTAATGCTACACGTTTGTGCTTGGGAGACTTCTTTGGCTGCTATCATATATTACGTTTCATATTTTCACATCTTTATTCCATTTAACGACAAACCTTACAAGCTTGCTGTTCATGAGGGAAGTGAGATTAATATTGTGTCTCATGGATTTGTCAAATGAATGAATCTTCAAACGAACCGTTTTGGATAGATTAGATAAGTAAAAGGTTTTTTGTTTTTAAAAAGATGTCTAGTAACTCTTCAATTTGGTCCTTTAAAGATATATGTTTAATTACGACGTTCTTCCCATAAATGTCACTCATATTTTGATAGGATTTTCTTGAGTTGATGATTATGAGGTGAGGTACACCAAAGGGAATAAATGTGTATTTCCAATTCCATGCCTAAAGAAAAGTCTCCTATACCTAAGACCAATCTTCCTTAACAAGCTTCAAGTAAGTTAACTCGTACCCCTAGGTCAGATGATATACGTATTGAGAAATTGAAAATAAGAAAGAAGTTATGATAACTAATGAGGTTGTTTATCCCAAGTCCTTGCCAGAGTCTATTAGTGACGAACCATCTCCTTTCCATTAATCCACCGTTTCATCACCACCTAATTCTTTGCCCATTGATTCTAGTCCCGCTAAATCATGTGTTGCAAAGTCACCAATAAAATGCATGATAAAATTCCCAACTCTTATATTTTTATTTTTTGTTATTTTTTGTTATTTTTTTTGTTTTATTTGTTTGTTTTTTGTTTGTTTTTTGCTTTTGGATCTAATGCATATTTAAGTGATTTTCCTCCTAATGTGACTATAGGATTGGTTTTCAATAAAATGGAGTTGTTTACTTATGGTGGTGATTAGAAATCTCAAGTGTTTTTTGCGCTTATTTTGCAGGCAGAGAGTTTCTATAGCCAATAATCACGCTCCTTTAGCTTCTTTCAAATTCAAGTGTTAAGATTCGAGAATTTCTTGCGTTGTAGATTGTTACTTCATGATTTTTTTGAGCTTCGACTCGACGGAGTCGAATACTTCTCTAGCCAGATGTGAATGATGAAGACTAAGAAGTTGTCTTGAAAGAAGATAAATGTAAAAAATAAATTAAATTGATTTGGATTGATTTTTATTTGTTTTCCTTTATTTGTGTATGATTTTAAGTATTTATTAATTTCCGGTTTTGGTCTTATAACTAGCCTATAAAATGGCTACGCCATTATAGACAAGGCATATTGTTTTTTTTTTTAATTGAAAGATTTCTTATCTTATATACATATATATTTATTTTAGTACTGATATAAACCTTTAAAGGTTAATTTGTGTACTGATATGATCATTTTTTCACAGGAAAAATATGGAGGTTAAAAATTCATCTCTACACATGGTAATGTATCCCTGGTTTGCTCTTGGCCATATTATTCTACTCCATGTCTTCAAAAAACTAGCCCAAAGGGGCCACAAAATCTTCTTTGTCCCAACCAAAACAATTTGAGAAAATTGTAAAAATTACCCTTAAATACATCTGGAGTTATACTCTTTTATTGTGATTGACTGTAATCTGTCAAATTATAAAATAGTACCATCTTCAATTCGTTTACTTTGGCCTCGTTCGTTTCGCTGATTCGAGTTTAGAATTCGAGTTTTGCTACAGTAAAAAGCTCTAACAAACAGTCACATCTAACTTTTTTGCTACAGTAAAAAGCTCTCACATAAAATCACATCTCAACTCGAATCAGCGAAACGAACGAGGCCTTTGTGTTTTTTGACCTTTTTTTTATTTTTATTTGTTTTTTGTTGGAAGCAATGAGCAAACAACTTTTTGCTTCCAATTTTTGGTTTATACAATATAGAGCTACTAACTTTTATTTTTGCAAATACTCATTTAACCACATTTAAAGTCACAAACCATAAAACCGCGTTTTATTAATTCACCATCTTCAACTCCTTGCTTTTTTTCTCATACAAATATAAAATATATGTTGGCATACGATTTGAAAATATCATGATTTGCATACAAGCACACTACCAATTTATGGATCATTAGGACCAAGGACTTAATTCATTCATTCTATTTGCTGTGCCAAAAGAATTTTAATTGTACTTAATTTTTTTATATATTTTTTTAAGGAAGAACCAATTATTTATAAGGTGTGTGTGTAAAGGGTATTTTTTTCTAATAATTTTGTCTTACACAATAATTTTATCAATCGACAATTAGTAATAAAATAATTTATTGAAAAAGATTCACCCTTATCTCAATTTAATCTCGTGCCCCATAAAAAATATGTCAGCAGATCTTCATGCCTAATTATTACTAAGATTAATAATATAGAAGTGAAAATAGTATTTATACTGGCGTTTTTTCTCGTTCTCTCTCAACCAAAAAACAGAGCATGGGTGTGAAGTGTTTGGTCGGGGCTAATTATTGCGGAAGAAAAGTCAAATTATATTATTAGAAGTTTTTAATTATTTAAATTACTACTTTTATAATTAGTAAAGTTTTATTTTGGCTTAATTCTTAGGTAAAATATGAATTAGTTTACGTTTTTGTTTTTAATTTTTAAAATGATTTATTTTCTTACCTTTTATTTGAATTGTTTTGTTACTGCTTGGGACAATTTAACTTATAAATATGTTAGTCTTATGATGTAAGGTGAGAAAATTTTTATGAATAAAATTTGAGTGTTTACACTTTTTGTTTATCCAATTTCGCATTCTTTGTAAATTAACAAATTTTAATACTAATTTTTAGTATTCTGTGTGAATCAACGGATTTGAAAGCAGCTTTTTTTGTAAATATTGAAGCATGAACATTAATCATGTGATGCAAGCCAATTTCTTTAATCGTTCCCATCACCGTTCCTCACATCGACGGCCTCCCTTTATTTTACTCTCACTTGATCCGTGGACAATATTATTTAACTAGATTGATCCAAATATGTTAATAGTTGATTGTGACCCTGACGACAAAACAAAAGTAAATTGATTAATTTCCACTTACTGTTCGAGACCTTTTATTCAATCTTCCACTTAATATTTAAATATTGAAGCATCAATGTTAATCATGTGATGCAAGCCAAATTCTTGATGCAATCTAATTAAATACCAATTTATGTAATGAGAACTCGCAAGTCACAGCAAATAATTAAATTTTCTTTTTCACCCCTTTCCTTAGAAATTTGCATACTTTTTGATATTGATTATACTTTTCTTGATGTAGAAGGATCTAATGGCCAACATCTTCAATTAAAGCACTCCATCAGATAAGTGTAAGCACTTTGTCATATAGATTTCCTGCCAACATGTATATTATTTGAGTGCTGATATAAATCCATAAATGTTAATTTGTGTATTGACAGCGATCATTTTTCACAGGAGAAAAACATGGAGGCAGATGATTCATCTTTGCACATCGCAATGTATCCCTGGTTTGCTTTTGGCCATATCACTCCATTCCTCCATCTCTCTAACAAACTAGCCAAAAGAGGCCACAAAATCTCCTTCTTTGTCCCAACCAGAACACAATCCAAAATTGAGCATTTCAATCACTTTCCCCACCTCATCACCTTTGCTCCCATCACCGTTCCTCACATTGACGGCCTCCCTTTGGGCGCCGAGACCACTTACGATGTGCCTAACCCTTTGTTGTTCCCACTCATCATAATGGCCATGGAAAAGACAAAGCTTCAAATTGAACTTCTTCTTCGTAACCTCAAACCCGACATTATCTTCTTCGATTTCGCTCACTGGATACCAAATTTGGCACGTCCGCTGGGCATTAAATCCGTCTTCTATTCAATTATCAGTCCTGTTTCGATAGGTTACGGTGTCGCTAGGGAAAACGTCCAGAAAAAAGAAGCTGAAATATCCGAACAAACTTTTTTGCATCCGCCGCCTGATTTCCCTGATTCATCGTCCATGAATCTCCACCTCCACGAGACAAAATTCTTTGCTGCGAATTCAAAGCCTCCACAATTCGACGGCGGTACTCGTACCAGCTTATTTCGCCGAATTTATACTAGCATGATGGAAAGTGATGCTCTAGCGTTCAAGGCGTGTAGGGTTTTTTTGTAGGGAAATTGAAGGGCTATATATAGAGTATCTCCAAAGAAAGTTTAACAAGATATTGCTGCTTGCCGCACCAGTCATGCCAGAGCCACCAGTGAGTACTAGTTTAGAAGAAAAATGGGCGAATTTTCTAGGTGGCTTCAAGGCTGGCTCGGGGATTTACTGTGCTTTGGGAAGTGAGTGGACCCTAACAAAAGAACAATTCCAAGAGCTTCTTTTGGGGTTTGAGCTTTCGGGGTTGCCGTTCTTGGCCGCGCTGAAACCACCTTACGGGGCTGAGAAGATTGAGGAAGCGCTGCCGGAGGGGTTCGGAGAAAGAATTAGAGGAAGAGGAGTGGTTCATGGTGGGTGGATTCAACAACGGCTGATATTGGAGCACCCTTGTGTTGGGTGTTTTGTCACGCATTGCGGTTCGGGTTCTTTAATGGAGGGATTGTTGAGTAAATCTCAGCTGGTTATGATACCTCATGTAGGTGACCATTGTTTTCGAGCGAGGCTCATTGGTAACATATTCAAGGCCGGGGTTGAAGTGGAGCGAGCTGAGGAAGATGGGTTCTTCACAAAGGAGAGTGTTTGCAAAGCGATTAAAACAGTGATGGAAGAAGAAAACTACTACTGTGACAAGGATCAGAGCCATCTCCAACCGTGCCAAGTTGCGAGAGAGATAAGAGCCAACCATGCCCAGTTGCGAGAGCTTCTTTCCCTTAAAGATCTCGAGTCTTCTTACATTGATGATTTTAGTAAGAAACTTCAATTACTTCTGTAAAGTTTGTTTACTGTATAATGTGGTTCGCGAGAAATATGACGATGTTAGTAAGAAACTTCAATTCTTCTGTAAAGTTTGTTTACTGTATAAAGTGGTTCGCGAGAAATATGACGATGTTAGTAAGAAACTTCAATTACTTCTGTAAAGTTTGTTTACTATGTAATGTGGTTCGCGAGAGATTTGTTGATTTTAGTAAGAAACTTCCATTACTTTTGTAAAGTTTGTTTACTATGTACTGTGGTTCGCGAGAGATTTGATGATTTTAGTAAGAAACTTATGGCTATTTAGTTTGTTAATTTGAGTTTTTAATTTGAGTTGAGATATGATTTTATTTAAAAAAAATTTATTGTATTAAAAAAATTAGATGTAATAGTTTTTTAGAGTTTTTTATTATAACAAAACTCGAATTATAAACTCAAATCGGTAAAATGAACAAAACCTTCAATTACTTATGCAAAGTTTATCTTATATATGATGAGGTTCGCAAGAAATTCCTACATTGTATTGTTATGGTGTCTGTTAGACTAATATCTTAGTAGTATTTAGTATCGTTTTAGATTTGCCCTTCCATCGATAAAATGCTTCCATTGATTAGAGCAATCTTTATCAAAAAGAACCTTATGTGCCGAGATAGTCCTCCGTTTTTGAACCCCGAGTGTATGTCCTTCTCTTCACTAGATTATTAGCATTGTATCGTGATATCTATAATGTTATTTAATTTGAATGCAAGCTCGCTTTAAAAAAAAGGATTATTATCACTGGTATTCTTTAACTTTAGAGTTATTACTAATTTACTCTCTGAATTTTAAAAACTCTCACTTTGTCTTTTAAATTTTAAAATTTGTCTCATTTAGGCCTTTTTATAAGAATTTTTGGTAAACTCGGACTGAAAATATGAGTTAATTAGTTTTTATCTATTTCTTTTTAAAATAAATTTAAATAAAAAGATCATGTGATTGTGTTATTCTCATTTTTTTTATATGCTTTTAGCATAAATTGAGAGTGAAGTGAGAGTTTACTTGCTATTTTTATATGACCACATTTAACCCCTATTTATAAGTGAGATTTCATAAAAATTTCTGTTCACTCTCACTTTATCCATGGACAATATTGTTTTACTGGAAGGATCCAAATGTGTTAATAGTTAATTGTGACCCTGACGACAAAACAAAAGTAAATTGATTAATTTCCGCTTACTGTTCGAGACCTTTTATTCAATCTTCCAGCTAATATTTAAATCTTGAAGTATGAATGTCAATCATGTGATGCAAGCCAAATTCTTGATGCAATCTAATTAAATAGCAATTTATGTAATGAGAACTCGCAAGTCACAGCAAACAATTAAATTTTCTCCGCCACCTCTTTCCTTAGAAATTTGCATATTTCTTGGCATTGATTATACTTTCTTGATGTAGAAGGATCTAAAGGCCAACATCTTCAATTAAAGCACTCCATCAGATTAGTGTAAGCACTTCATCATATAAAGATTTCCTTCTCTTCTTCGTTAGTGGGCCGGCCGAAACTTTGAAAACTCAAATAATTAAAGTATATTTTTTTCACAACTTAAATTATAACTCAAATTTTTTATTACAATATTTTTTATATAAAAATTTAAATTTAATTTTTTTATAAAATTCACTTTTACAATTCAATTTCTAACTCCAATTACGAAAAAAAAGCATATCATAAATCCATAAAACAGAGGCGCAGAAACAAAAGGAGATAAAAGATATAAAATCACGTGCAACCCAGCCCATGAACAACTTCATTTATGGTCATGCTTTATTTATGGTCATGCTTTGTTTTCTGTTGAATTGAACACTTAGGTATGAAGATCTGCTGACATATTTTTTTATCTTAGTAACTGTTTTTTAATTAAATTTTAATATTTAATAAATTATTTAGATATTTTATTTTTATTTATATAATTAAATTCTTAAATTTAAATAATTAATAAAAAAACAACTATCCAGTTAAGTGATGTCAAACGTGCTGTGCCGGGCCAGCACGGCACGCTTGACCCCAGGCCCCTCACGGGCCTGGGCCGTGCCAAGCACAGCCCTGCACAGTGCAGGGCCGTGCCTGGGCTAGGCTTGAGAAGAAAAACTCAGGCCCAGTCCAGGCCCTTGGCCCTAGTCCATAAGGGCAGGCCCTTGTATTTTTTTTTAAATTTAATTAAAAAAAATATCATATGTCCCAAAAGATGTGATTTTATTGAATTGACGAGTACACATAAATGACTGCCTCGTTAAAAACCTTGCTAAGTAAAACCGTGGGGAGATCGGGACAAAACCTTAGCGAAGAAAAAAAGAGTGCAGTAGCTAGGAATAGTAAATTACAAACCTAAGTGCTTCCAGAAGATTCTGTTATTTCTAAGTTAGAAAAATATTCTTGCATCGAATCATCTGTGTATTGTTGTTTTCGTCTTTTGGCATCTTCCCAGTCTTTAACGCACATTAGTCCCTCTAAGATATCTGGATGCATTCTGCTTCTCTTCTCGTCAAGAATTCGGTTGCTTGCGCTAAAAGCTTGCTCCGATGCTACCGTTGACACTGGAGTTGTCAAAATGTCACGAGCTATTATGGACAGTGTTGGAAAATGATCTGTATTGCTCTTCCACCTGTGACGACCCTCCTACGAGGCCGCTACCGTAGCTTACTTTTTAACTTGTACTTACTGGGGTTTCTTAAAATTTGCGGAACATTTTTTTTTTTTTAAACATAAGAAAGAATACTTTCATAATTCGTAACAATAATTTCAAAAGAATGAATCACTAAATTACTTAAAGCTTTTCTTAATTTTAGTTAAGATAAAACCTTCTAAAAATATCTTTCGAATTGAGTGACATTTGAACTCTTGTTTCATATACTCTTTAAAAGCCTTTCTAAAACTAGCCAATACATTCGGGCCATCTAATTTGACCTTCAAATGAATTTCGTGAGAAATCTTAAATTCAAGTACTTCTTAAAGTCCTTTCAAAATCAATCATTTAAACCATCATGTTTAAAATTCGTTTATCTGTTGCATGCACTATTGCAACGTTCTAAAATTTAAATACTCAAAATTAAGGTTGTTAGCTACAACCTCAGTTTCCCTAACATACATATGTACATATACTTTTTAAACATACATGCTTGAAACATTTGAATCATATAAACATATACATGATTTTACTTAAACTTACTGCGAAAGATTTTAATGTTAGCGGTATCCATTCCCATCTCCACCATTCGTCCGTCACTCGCCACTGTCTTTCAAGAATTGTTTATAGGTTTCTTACCTACAGATCTGATTGAGCTTTCGCTCAGTAAGTAGGAACTATATCTCACAAAATAACTGTAAGTACACATGAATAAATATGCATGAGCTGATTATGCTTAATTATGATGTCTTATCATAATTTTATTATCTTATCTTATCTTTCTTACTGATGGGCCCGAGTGCTCGCGTACCACTTGCGCGCAATCATCGGGACGTGAGGGTTTGCAAGGTCCCCCACAACACCGTGATTATAACTTGAATGCCTCCCTTGAGTCGGAGGACATTATTGTTATTTTCTTTTTCTCCCTTGTGGAGCTTGAGTTACCTCCCTTGTGGAGGCTGATACGGCACTAACTGATATTATTCTTATAAGTTCCTCTTGACTTATTAAGGTGTATGCAATATGACATAGCATAGTATACTATAACATGGAATGTACTCAAACACATATACTTCATGTGCACTGCTTAAGTGTATGCAGTGTGATCTAGCATAGTATACATAACATTAAATTAACTCAACCACATATAATTCATGTGCGCTACTTATGTGTATGCAGCATGACATAGCATCACATACAATACTTAAAGCATAAACATGCATATATAACATGTGTAACTTTTTCTTTAAAATCTATTCATACTGTAGGCGAGATTCCTACTTACCTGATTTACAGAGCTGGAATTCTCTTTTTGCCAAACAGCCTATTCTCTTACTTGCTTACTTCTGAAAATGAACACCCATTGAGAGTGTGAGATTATCTGTCGTTTGCTATTTTATTTTAGTAGCGTATGAAGGAAATCTAGCCCTTTACTTAAGGCATGTATTCCTTTCCTTTACTGAAGGATAATTTACTATAAGGATCAATTTATTAAATCCTCAAAATCTTATTTTCTTTAATTGCCCTTAGCATACTTATGTCTAGGTTGAAAATCATTTGCCCAATCTAGTAACTTATTCTCTATAAAATTTTTCTCATTGGACTCATTATATTATTAAGGCCTAATTCGACCTAGAAACTTATTCACGGCATTCTAGCTCTTAGGTCATTAAAATTTAAACTCTAACAAAGTCTCTTAATTTAATGCGGGCGTTAGACCCACATCAAATTCTTGAAATTCTAAGGACCTATCGTGTTGGGCTTGTAAGTGCCCGTCGGGATGTTTTGCTCGAAAACTATTAAGCTTTTAAAAGAACTATCATTCAATTTTTTATAAAATGATAACTCACTCATTTAGTTACAAGCACTAAAATCCCGTTGTAAAATCTCTTTTCGAATATCGACTTTTAAAAACTATTCCCCAAGTCGTTTTACGGTTGGCTTGTAAACCACCGTGAAACTATGTTGTATAAACCCTTTTTTTTTTGAAATCTTTCTTCATAGCTATTCCTCATTAAAGTGAGGTCTAAAACCATATTATTTTACTGAAATCACATCTTGGATTCTTTGATAACCTTTTGTTAAAAACGTCACTGTTTTAGTTTCATTTTGTTAAAACTGTACAGTTTCTGAAATATGCATTTCACTACATTTTAGAGTTGGATTTTGAAAATCAGTTCTTCACAACAATTCTTCGACTCGTCGAGATCTAAAATTGTCATTTTTGGATAAAGTTAAAATTCAGCCTCTAAAGGCCTCGTTTGGCTGAAAACAGTGGCTACTATTTTTTTTTCTTTTGCTGTAGCAATCATTTAATAAGGCTGTAGCAATCCTTTTAAAAAGGCTATAGAATTGCTGT